TTTTTTTTTTTTTTTTTTTTGTGATGGCAATGTCTGCTTTGCATGTGCATGCATGTTATTCAGTTTTATCATTATGACGCTGATGTAACACAAATGGTGTTTAGTTGTTGAAAATGGTGCTCATTTAATTCAGTTTTGTGTCACACCTCAGTTTTGTTAAAGTCAGTGTTGAATAAAAAGCTTTCAAAATCTTTTTTTTTTTTACTTTTTTTATTCTTCATAATGTTACATCTCACCCCAGGGTATGTTACAATTAACCCTGACTATGGAGTGAATCGTAACATTTCACTCCTTGTGTCTGAAACTAAACCATGCATTTTTTTGTTTGTGCTGGAAAGATAACAGCTGCGCCATTTAATAGCAGACACTTGTAACTAGTTTGAATGCACTGCTTAAAAGAACTCCCAAGATATAGGCAAAAATGTTACAACCATCCCGTCTCCCCCTACCCAGCAGGAAAGTGTCATTTGAAGTTTTTTTGGGGGAAGCCACAACTCTCCTAAATGTACAGAAATCAAAACAATATGCAATGTAACTTCTGTGATTAATGATTTCACTTGAATTTTACTTGCACTGTTTGGGTAAAGGCAGGATAGATTATCAACCTGGATTAGAGTTTATATTTAACCTATATTGAGCAAATATAATAAACTGTAATCCATTACTGGATTCGTTTATATTTAACTATTATATTGAGCAATTTTTGTTTTTCAAAAAAATTTAAGTTATGTTTAATGATTAATTTTTAAAAAATCCTTCAGTCTATTTAGTGACAAAAACCACATAGTTGCCTCTTATGAAAATCAATAGATACAAATTAAATGGGTGTTGTATGACACAAATTAATTCTGTTATTTTTAAATGCACATCAGGTCTCAGCTACCCACTTCGAGCTAAGCAGCAGCCCAGTCAAACATTCTTCACTTTTCTGGCTTTTACCAGGTGAGCTGATCTTAAGAAGGTGTTCATCAGACTGTCATCCATGTAAGTATATTTCAGTGACAAGCACTTAAGATGTAATTTATGTAATAAACCGCTTGAAACTTTGCAGGAGGTTAATAGGACATGTATAAATGGTGAAACCTTTGCACACAAATGAAAAAAGCAAGCCCAAATTTCTGTAAATCATGTAATATGAATGAATTATTTATTGACCATTTTAGAATTCACACACAAGAGACATTAATGTATTTGATTTTAGATCTCTGATGTTAATTCTGATTTTAAATCTGTGACATCATTTTCAGATTTTTTTAAAGATGTCCTACCCAACAACTCTGTTTAAAATTGGTGGTGGAGGAGGTTCGCCATTTTCATTGACTGGTAAGAACAATGGTGCCAGTTTAGAGAAGATCGGGGTCTGGGTGGGAGGATCTCAGGTGAAGGCTGTCAGGATTTGGCTTTCAGATGGCAGAAGAGAAACCTTTGGCAATCCAGCCGGACCGTATCAAGAGTACACGTTCAAGCCTGATGAGTGTTTCACCTCACTGTCCCTCTGGGGGAACGGAGCAGGAACACGTCTTGGAGCCATCAAATTCAAGACCAGTGGGGGTGCAGAATTTTTTGCAAAAATGACAAGCTGGGGTTTAAAACAAGAATATCCCATTGATATCGGCTCTGGTTATTGTTTGGGAGTTGTAGGAAGAGCTGGTGCAGATATTGACTGCATGGGATTCATGTTTATCAATGAAGTTCAATCAACCGTTCTCACCAATGTCAACTATCCCACAATAAACCAACTGATACCAAAGGTGACCGTGGAAGAGCTCAAATCCGTCACTTACACAAACGACACCTCTGCCAAACAACAGCAAACGGTCGAAACCTCAAAGGAAGTGATCGAAACATCTTCATGGTCGATGAGTGTCAGCTTTACAGCAACATTTAGTGTGGAAGTGAAGGCAGGGATTCCAGAGATTCTAGAAGCTTCTACAGGATACAGTTTCAGCGTTGGAGCAGAAAGCACTTACAAGCATGAGTACACCAATGAGAAAACCGAAACTCTGACTACCACTGTAGATGTGCCACCAAGAAAGAAGGTGGATGTTGACATCACCATCGGCAGAGCCACGTCTGACCTGCCTTACACTGGCACAGTGAAGATGACTTGCAAGAATGGCAGTGTGTTACAGTATGAAACCAAGGGCCAATACAAAGGGATCACTTACACTAATATCAAAGTGAAAACTAAAGAATCTGATCTGTAATGTAAATGTTAATGATTGTTCTTGGCTGGGCTTTATCTGATTTTACCAGCAATGCATCACTTTTATATGATTTGTTTGCAGGCACGTTGCACACATAGATATCAAAGGGGGCTTGAGCACCTGTCCTTTTTCTTCCTTGAGAGAAAGTGCCCTTTTTTCTGGGGAGTTTTTTTGTTGTTGTATAAATTAATATATGTATGTGTGTGTGTGTGTGTGTGTTTCTGTTTGCGCATAGCTTTCCCTGTCAAACAAATAAAAAAAATCGGAATATCAGGTTGGGTCGGGAAATGTTGAGACTCTGTCGAATTCCGATGCCTTTCTCCCCTCCGCGTCTCTGCAGCACAGCAGTGTAGCACACGAAGAAAGCCGCAGAAGTGAAGCCCTCCCTCCCTTTCCAGTTGTGTTTGTCTTGGTGTGGAGGTGAGTGGTGATGGATAAAAGACTAAGCTGCCTGTGCCTTGAATTTACAGCTAATTATCCAAAAGACAAAAGGCAAATATAGTTAATTTGTCTTGCTAACATCCATGACTTATGAGCTACCATGTAATAAGTTAGCCAAAGTTTAGCTAAGGCAATATATCATGGGCATACAGGCTAACATAATGGAGAAACAACAGCTGAATACAGTAAAAATGTATAACGTCATCAGAATCGCCACATTGATATGCAAATCAGGAGTTAAGTAAGTAAAATGTGCTAATTTGCATACCTTTGACACAAGGCATTGCAGATGAATAGGATAAACAAAATAACTAAAGCATATCACCACAGAACTTCCCCAGTTAATGATTTACATCGAGAGTCTTTTCCCTTGAAATGTTATGTTTAAATATGCAGATAGCTTGTTTTGATTAATTTAGAAGAAATCTACTGAAGCACAGATGAGGGTAGGCTTAAAACAAACACCTTAATATGTATTTTAGAAATGTCCTTAAAACAAACACCTTAATATGTATTTTAGAAATGTCCTTTCCATTAGAGCAAAAGACATGGTAGAAAAATAGACCAAAATCTCAAAATTGAACAGTACATGAAGTGTCCTGCCTTAATAACTTCATCATTTTGATCTCAGGCTCCTCATCTAATAACTAGGCTATCCATTCTATTATGCTGATAGATCTTAACAGCCTTCCCTCAAATGTGAAACAAAGTTTTTGTCACCATCAGTTTGTGTGTGTACACAAACACATAAAACTTACTGTAAAAGTGCAAATATAAATAGTTATATTAAACAACATTTTAACATGATGAACATGCAACAACTGTTCAGTCAAAACATGTAGGCTAAATTAATTTTACTATTTACTATTGTGTATGCAGATTATATTTTAAGCTTTATGAGCTGGATTTCTGTACGGTTACGGTTCTGTTACCGTTTCTGTAAAAAGTTGATATCATATCTGACATCCGCGTTTACACATCAGTGCCAGTATTGGGTGCTTTTGCAAAACGTAAATGTAAGAAACTTATCCAATGATGATGACGATGGTTATTACTATTTATCTTAAGTTATGATTACAAATTACTTTATCTGAATGTGTTTGAATGTATTTTTATTTGCCGGGATGATATAATTTATGTCATTACGTGATGACGTAAAAGAACCGGTGAACCGTTTTTTTGAA